CTATCCTGATATTACCTCCTCCACCTCATCTCTCTAGTATCCTGGGACCAACCCAGCTACAAAAACTCTCCTGAACTTTCCTAAATGGTAGAGTTGTAAGTAGTCAGCGAATAGAGGTTGTTGGTCCCTGGACAGACACCACTCCTCCTGTCAGGGAGCAAGGTGAAGAGTAAGTTAAGTACCATATAGGCCACAAGCATACCACTGCTGCTTTCTTCCAGAAGCAACAGAACCACACACAAATGCAAATTCAAGAATGTAGCAGGAGTTAACCCTTCCAACAAAAACTAAAGCTTTGAGTCTGATCTTGGCTATTCAGGAGCAAATGACAGAATATTGTGATGGAAATTGGAACAAAGTCCCTGAAGTTTACAGATTCAGTTTTGCTATTTCAAGGAAAATGCATAAGAATGTTAGGCTATGTCTACATTGCATGCTTCTTGCGCGAGAACTTTTTGCAGATGAGATCTTCTGCAAAAAGTTCTTGTGCAAGAGTGCGCACACACTGCCATGTACTTTTGTGCAAGAGTGCGTCCACACTGCCATGTGCTTTTGCACAAGAGCGTCCATGTCAGTGTGGATGCTCTCTTGCGCAAGAAAGCTCTGATGGCCATTTTAGCCTGTTCCCGTTCACACTAGCCTTTTTGCGCAAGAGCTCTTGTGCAAAAAGGCTTATTACTCATGGAGGACTAACTCTTGCGCAAAAAGCCCTCTCTTCTGATGATCTACTGTAAACTTTCTTGTGCAAGAACAGGCTTGTAGTGTGGATGCGCTGCAAGCCTGCAGTGTAGACATAGCTTTAGTCTATCAGAGTTAAAAGTTCAGGTGAAATCTTGTGAGCTAGTTCACATACAAGTTGGGGGTTTAAGTTTTATTTAGTTGTTATCTATGTATTTGAACACTTGTTCTGAAACTGTGAGAAAAATATAAAATTAAAAACCCAGCATTGTTAAAGTGTTGTGGTTAAAGTACTGTACCAAAAAGTAGGAGTTTCTGATGCTGATCTCAATTCTGTCAAAGATTTCCTGTGTGATGTGAAGACAGGTTAATTGGTCCACACTTTTTTAAAAAGAGGTATCAATATTAGGTCCTTCAGGTTTGGGGTGTGAAAACTTAATTAGCACATTTTTTCTCCATAGAAAAATGTAATTTTGCTAAAACTGAAATGCTAAAAATATCCCTCTGGCTGCTGTATAGCAGAAGGTACTCATGTTAGCCACTCTGGTACAATCCTACCCATAGGCACTGATTTCTGTGGGTGCTCCAGAGCTGGCAATCAACTCCCTCCTCCCTCCCAGCAACTCCTGCCCTCCAGTGGCCCCACCAATTAACTCTTCCCTCTCCCTCCCAGAACCTATCGCCTATCACAATCAGCTGTTCTGCAGCATGCAGGAGGCTCTGGAAGAAGTGGGGAACAGAGCATGCTCAGGGGAGGGGGCAGAACTGGGTGGGAAGAGCCAGAGCAGAAGCGGTGACTTGGGGGAAGGGGTGGGGCAGGGCAGGGGACTGAGCACCACTGAGGCCCCTTCTGAGTGGAGCTAACACATTTCTGCTATGTGTGCTATATAGGCACACTCTGTGTCACAGCACATGGACATGGTTCCTGGAAAGGTATGAACCAACCTGCGGCCTGAACTCGCAAATGCTTACTCCCGGACAGAGTGCTTATTAGCACAAGACATCCCCTATACGCGAATGCAACTCTTTGCAGAAGTAAGTGCTAAGAATGCAGAGGATCAACACCAAGCTTAAGCAATGCTTTGTTTTGAGGGCTGAAGCCAGGCTCATGGGATGCAAAGGGCACATGGGTCAATTTTACTTCTAGTCCAATAGTACGTGTTCGTAAGACTGAACCTTGAACTGGAACCATATTTGAAAATACTCTTCGAGCACGGCTTGAAAAGGTGTTAGGACAAAGTAGGGGTATGTCTACACTACAAAGTTAATTCGAACTAACAGCCGTTAGTTCGAATTAACTTTCAAAGCGTCTATACATACAAACCGCTATTTCAAATTTAATTTAAAATAGTGCGCTTAATTCGAACTCGGTAAATCTCATTCTATGAGGAATAACGCCTAATTCGAAATAAGTGCTGTGTGGACACTTATTTCGAATTAGGGGGCCTCCAGCCCTTCCCAGTTCCCCCTGGTGGCCACTCTGGGCCAAACCAGGAAAACTCCTCTCCTCTCCCCCAGCCCCGGGGCCCTTAAAGGGGTAGACTCTGGCCAGATGGCACTTGCCGGAGCCAAGCCTGCCAGCAGTCTCTGCCCCTGACCCAGTGGCCCCAGGATGAGCCAGGCAGCCAGTGGCAGCCAGCTGTCCCCCGCCCAGTCCTCCAGCACCCAGGGGCCAGCCAGGGGCCGTAGATGGCGTGTGCCCTCCTGGACTAGTAGGGAGGTCATGGACCTCATTGAGGTTTGGGGGCAGGCTCCCAACATCCATGATCTCCGCACTAGGCGGAGGAACACGGCCGTCTACGGCCGCATAGTGGCCACCATGGCCCGAAAGGGACACAGGTGCACCCAGGAGCAGGTGCGCCTGAAAGTCAAAGAGCTGTGGCAGGCATACGCCAGGGCCACCAGGTGCGGTGCCGCAGCAGGGGCTGCCACCTGCCCCTACTTCCCTGCCCTCGACCAACTCCTGAGGGGTGGGGCGGTCCACGCCAGCCAGGGAGGCAGCGAGTCGGGACCAGAGGGCCCTGACCCGGTCACACCGGAGGGGCCACCGCCAGCTGTTCCAGCACCAGAGTCGGCAGGGTCGTCCAGGGAGGCCATACTGGGTAAGTACCAGCACTGTCCCCTGCCTGGGGGGGGGGAGGTGGGGAGGGAGACCAGGGACCACGCATGTGGGCCATGCCTCCCAAGGATCACGCAGCCACCTGTGCACGTGCGAGCACATGGCATGCCACCCTTGGGCAGGTGCGGCCCGGTCCCTGCCTGGGGGGGGGGAGGTGGGGAGGGAGACCAGGGACCACGCATGTGGGCCATGCCTCCCAAGGATCACGCAGCCACCTGTGCACGTGCGAGCACATTCCATGCCACCCTTGGGTGCATGACATCCAGGGGCCATGGCCCAATAGGCACATGCGTGTGTGAAGAGAGCTGACACACTCCCGAACCCGAGGCGGGACTTAGCAGGACACTCTCCCTTCACATGCCCCCTCTACACAGAGGCAGGGGACATCTCTCCCCCGCCCCAGCCACAGTATACACGGGACAGGGGCATGGGTGTGGTCTTGAGGTAGCTCCCACTCCCGAGGAGAGCCAGACATCCTGACCATGGCCTCTGTACAAGCACAGTGGCTCTGACGGTACAGGACATGGTCACCCTCTTATGGCCGAGGGAGTGGGGGTGAGAAGGGAGGGGCTGGGCATCAGCCACTGTGTCCCCAGGGAGAACTGACCACTTCTCTTCTTTCTCTACAGCTGCTCGTGCAGGGCGCATCACCCTGCCCGGGACATGCTCTCGCACCCGTGGCCTGTTCCAGACCACCACCATGTGGCAGAAGTACTGAGACCAGCACCTGGGGGCCCTGCAAGCCCTGCACCGCAACGTCCAGGCCTGGATGCTAGAGGACCTGCATCTCCGCCGGGAGCAGCTTGTGGAGGACCGAGCGAGGAATTGTCACCTGCAGGCCCTCCTGCAGAGCGTGGTACCCTGTACCTGTCCTGCGTCTGCTGCCCCCCCCAACTACTGTCCCTCCTCCCACTCCTGTCCCCCATCCCACCTCTTCTTCCTCAACCTCCATGCCCTCCTCCTCACTGTCCCCACCCCCCACCTCGACCTCCGCACCCTCCTCCCCATCCACCTGGGGACGCCAAGGCCCCCTCCCTCGCCGTGTTGGAAGGCGGTTGTCCCGGCGAGACCCCCACCCCCGATTTTCCCCTCCTCCTTCTTCCCTTGCTTCCCCCTTCCATCTCCCTCCTCCCAGTTTTCCCCCTCCCCTCTCCCACCCTCTCTCCTGTCCTCTCTCACCTCCTTTCCCCCATCTCCCCAGTTTCATTCCCCGTCCCCAGCTGTGTTCAATAAAGAGAGTTATTTTTTAAAATACATACATTTTATTTGACATTAGGAAGGGGGGGGGGCTAGGGAAGGGTAAGTGGAAGGACAAAAGGGAGGAATGGGGCATAGGCCCCCGGTGGGGCAGACTGGGGAAACTGTTAGTGCTCCTCAGGGTGGAAGCTCTCCTGCAGGACTCCCTGGATCCTGACAGCCCCTCGATGGTCCTCCTGGATGGCAGCCTGCAGATAGTGAAGCCAGGCTACTGGCAACATGTCCATGAGACACAGCAGAGTCCCCGGGGGCAGGTCTAGTTCCATGTTGCAGAGTGCCGTGATGTCCCGAGTGAGGGCAAGCAGAGCACTCCGAGACACAAATGCTTTGCTGTCCCCTTAGCGAAGTAGAGCAGCAAGCAAAGAAACCTGAGAACTGTCTGTCCAAGATGGGGGGTTGGGTCCCTTTAAGCACAGACCTCGGCTAGCCTGAGGCAGGAGCCCCACACACTAAGCCTGACCCTGATGCCCTGCTGGCACTGGTTCCGGCCAGCCTTACCTTTGGTTCAGGGTCCACTCAATGTGGATATGCTATTTCGAATTAGAAAAACGCTATTTCGAATTAATTTTTGTGTCTAGATGCATTATTTCGAATTAGCTTAATTCAAATTAACTAATTCAAATTAAGTTAATTCGAAATAACGCTGTAGTGTAGACATACCCTAGGGCTACGTCTAGACTGGCATGATTTTCCGGAAATGCTTTTAACAGAAAAGTTTTCCGTTAAAAGCATTTTCGGAAAAGAGTGTCTAGATTGGCGCGGAGTTCGTGTTATAAAGATGCGCTTTTGCGGAAAAGCGTCCATGCCAATCTAGACACGCTTTTCCGCAAAAAAGCCCCGATTGCCATTTTCGCGATCAGGGCTTTTTTGCGCAAAACAAATGTCAGCTGTCTACACTGGCCCTTTTGAGCAAAAGTTTTTTACAGTGGGAAGTCAGTGCTTTTGCGGAAATTCAAGCGGCCAGTGTAGACAGCTGGCAAGTTTCTCCGGAAAAGCGGCTGATTTTCCAGAAAAACTGGCCAGTCTAGACACAGCCTAGTAGAATGGTGCTGAAGTTGTGTTACTGGGTTATAAACTATGTTACCTAGTTTTAAACCATGTTAAGAATCAATTTATAAATTGATGCACTATTGGTAGGGTGGAAGAGAATTAAAAAGTTATTTTCTCCAGGAAGTACTGGGCCAAAATCATCCTTGGTATAATTTATAAACTTTATTTGGCTTATATGGGGATGCATTTGGCCTGATACGTTGTCAATTCAATTAGTCACTTGTGTCTAATGAAACATTAGCAAATTATGAACTGTGCTCATCTTTCTTATGCTGTTGAATCCTTAAAATAGGCTATTTGTACAGAACCTGCCATGTCTTAATAGCTTACGCACACACAGTTCTTAAAAGCCTTCAGAGAAAGCCTAGTGAATGATTCCTAAGAAACCTAAGCAGACAAAGACTTCTTTCCAAATAAAAATAGAACATATAGGTCAGAAATCACTTGGACATAATTGCACAGAGACAGTAATCCCAAACACTTCAATATCACAAGCTATTTTCTAGTACATAACCTAAAAAATGTATTTCAAAACTTCATTATATCACCAGTTTCTCTCCTGCAACCCAGATCAATTTCCATAAAGCACTCGGGTCATAGAGTCCGTTTGAGACATGAAACTGCTGTGACAGGATGGTGAGCAGGCATTAAAGAGAAAAGGAAGTCTGTGGAATCGAAATATGTTTCTGCAAGATCGAATGAGTTGTAGTCCTTTACCATACAATGGTCCTTTGCAGCAGTCACAGACTTTACAGCTAAGATGGAGAGGAACATTGAGTCAGAAACATTGCACAGTCCTTGTGACAATACAAACATAGTACATTCCACTTCATTTTCTGAATTCTCAACTAGAACTTAACAGACCATCTAGTTGGCCTCAGACCGATTATGATGGTTGTGAAAGTTTTCTGAGCTTCCTGAACTACACTGTAGTGCAGACGCTCTCTGTTGCAAGGGAGTGATTACTTTAGCCCAATGGTCTACAATCTTTTAAAGCACACTAGGGCTACGTCTAGACTGGCATGATTTTCCGCAAATGCTTTTAACGGAAAAGTTTTCTGTTAAAAGCATTTGAGGAAAAGAGCGTCTAGATTGGCACGGACGCTTTTCCGCAAAAAAGCCCCTATCGCCATTTTCACGATCGGGGCTTTTTTGCGCAAAACAAATCTGAGCTGTCTACACTGGCCCTTTTGCGCAAAAGCTTTGCGCAAAAGGGACTTTTGCCCGAACGGGAGCAGCATAGTATTTCCACAAAAAGTACTGATTTCTTACAGTAGGAAGTCAGTGCTTTTGCGGAAATTCAAGCGGCCAGTGTAGACAGCTGGTAAGTTTTTCTGGAAAAGTGGCTGATTTTCTGGAAAAATTGGCCAGTCTAGACACAGCCTATGAGTAGTGAGCTTTAAAATGCCTAACCTGTCATAGCTGGAGATATGCCACACTGACCAGAAGTCTCCTGGAACTGGGCCTGATCTTTGATCTCCTGGAGGCTCTTGCAGCCAAATCAGGAGATTGCCTGCTATCAGTTAAGCAGAGCAGCAGGGCTAAGGCAGACTCTCCCCTACCCTAGCCTTGTACTGCTCCTAGAAGTAGCTGGCATGTCCCTACTGCCCTGAGAGTGGCTGGTCTGGGGTCTCCACAGGCTGCCCTTGCCTGAAAGCACTGCCCCCACAGCTCAAGAATGGAGAACTATGGCCAATGGGAAGCATGGGGGTGGTGCCTGTGGATGGGGGTGTAGCATGTGGTACGCTGCTTTTGCGGAAAAGCGTCCGTGCCAATCTAGACGCTCTTTTCCAAAAATGCTTTTGATAGAAAACTTTTCCATTAAAAGCATTTCTGGAAAATCATGCCAGTCTAGACGTAGCCATAGAATTTAATTTAATTATCAAAGAGAAATACAATTATGAAATGCACAGACCAGTCAAAATTTAAATTAACACACCTGGAAAGAAGTAAAAAGTAACAACTACAACACAAGTATGTAGTGGGTCAGGAGGTGAGTGTGTAAGACAGTGTTTGGATGAGTGACAAAGACATACATAGTTACATAGTGTGTGAGTGACAAAGATTTGCCTTGCCCTTTTATGTATGCGGGGTACATTCAGATAGGAGCAGCTGCCAGAAAGCTCCCTCCATCCCAAGCTCTGTTGTGGCCTCTCTCTCCCCACCATGTAGATGGGTATGGGGGTGGGGGATGAGGGACAACCTCACATCAGCACCTTCCTTCTCTGCCATCCCCACTGTACACAGCAAGTAGAAGGCTCCCAAGAGGGGCAGCTCTAAAGCAGAAGGCAGGAGGTACACAGCAGTGGGGGGATGAGTAACTGAAGTACAGATACTTAGCCTCCCAGCCAAACCAGCCAGGATGACCTGTCAGAGGCTCCAGGATTACTAGTAGGTCCTGATCTACTGGCTGGTGACCCCTGCTCTGGCCCTGTGGGCATTGTTATACTTCTATGGCTTGAGTGGGGAAAGAGGACCAGTGGAAGTCTGAGGCAGACAAAGTGAAAATAGAGAGATGCTGTGCATGGGTGCGGTAACTCTGCCACTCCTAGAAACTGAGCTGGTATTTTTTTCTATATAGATTGTTCTGAAGCTCACAGCTCTCACTGACTTCTCCATCCTGCCAGCCACCCTTCTTGACTAGCAAGAAGGAACAGCTTGGGGCTGTTAAAAAAAAAAATACATGTCAGCTAGGCTTGTCAGTGCCTACCCTGATGCTGAAGCAGGAACAGGCCAAAGAAGTACTGGACTTATTATGGCCATTCTTATATAGGCCACTATTCCATGTTCACTCTGTAATAATAATTCCCGATTCTCCCCGTATATACGGGGGGAGTGTGGAGTTTGTTTTCTCTTTTCTGCCCTTTCACAGATCCTGAACAAGAGCCATGACAGCCCACTGTTGCCCCAGCACTCTCCTGGCCCTAAGTATCTGGAGTCTGATGCTACACAAGCTCTATGCTGGACCTGTGATCCCCCTGAACCTATGGAGGTGCCTGCCTGCTGAAATGGGAGCAACCCCCTGGCCCTGCAG